TCCCCGGGAGTTAGCCGAATTTAGACGTTTAATATCGAAAATAGGCCTATTTTTTCCGCTAATTCCGAATCTAAACTCGGTTTTGCCGAGAGATAACTAGGGGTCGAGATATAGCTATCTCGAACGAGATACCTACTATAAACATTTTAACTCTTAACGGAATTAAGAGAAGTAGAATACAAGACTACTATACCCTCGAATAGAGAGGGATAGGGGTATAAATTGACATCTAAGAACTAGTATAGGCAATAGGGATAGTAAGAGGTTCGCCTCGAAACCCTCCCTATCTAAAACATTCTTAGACGATATTAATAGTCGATTCCCTACCCTACTATTAGATTACTATCTATAGAGGAGTAGAATAAAGCCTATAGATTAGGGCCTATACTGCCCCTAGTAATAGGGAGGTATACCCTATTTATAGCGAGATAGACAGAACTTGAAACCTCTTATAACCCCTTTCTCCTTCCTTCTAAGAGTAGACCTTAGCTATTTACCTAGGCTCTAGTTAATCTAGGCACTAGGTAGATACGTATAAGGAGAATGTGCCGCGTAAGAGGCTTTTAACGATGTATATTAACCTATAATCTATAGATACTAGGCTGAATTAAAGGGCTAATAGAGGAAAGACCCCTCCGTATAGATCTACTCTGCTTACTACGCCGCCCTATAAAGGCACCGAGGTACCGAGGACCGGAACTGAGCGTTCCCGGACCCGTACGCTTCCCCGTACGAGTCTAGAACCGGAACTAGCCCTTCCCGGAAGGATCTAAGCTAAAAACAACTGCCGAAATTATACCTACCTAAAGCAGGCAACGGCAGTTTAGCCCTAATCTTACCGGGACGCGGAAAGATCGCTACCCGAACGGCTATACGCCTATCCGACGGCATTGTAGCTATCCGACGGCCTAATATTATACTATCGGGGCAATCTAACTCCGCGCGACGAGTAGATATATAGAGACAAGCCTATATAGTCCCTAAAGAGCATCTAATAGGCGAAACTACTTCTTTGTTTCTATAAGAGTAGTAGGACTGCTTTTGTGTTTATTTAGGACTCTGCAAACTCATTCTTGTTCCTATTCTTTTGCGGCTTTATTTAGAGTAAAGCTGTTCCTAACCCTAACCCTAACCCTAACCCTAACCCTAACCCTAGAATAGGCGAAACTACTTCTTTGTTTCTATAAGAGTAGTAGGACTGCTTTGTATTTATTTAGGACTCTGCAAACTTATTCTTATTCCTATTCTTTTACGGCTTTATTTAGAGTAAAGCTGTTCCTAACCCTAACCCTAACCCTAACCCTAACCCCTAACCCTAACCTAACCCTAACCCGTCTATACCTATTAAAGTAGGCAAAAGACGTTATTTATAAGAGATATTATACTAGATATACTTATTATTACCTTAAGTAGTAATTAGATCTATATACGACGACTAGATATTCGCTTTTAGCGACAGACTACTTGTATTCTAGTCTAGGGGCCCCCCCTACGTTTTAGTGCATTTCCTAGTACGGCTGTACTTTATAGCGTAGACTGTTTTTTATATTACGGGCTGTTTTTTATAGCACGGTAGGGTACCCCCCTAGAAGTAGTAAGATATTTTTATATTATCTAAAAGTAGACGACTCGACGATTCTAAAACCGTTCTACTTTTTAGTAGGCGGCGTTAGATAACCGAGAAATCTACGTTTCTATTTTCGACTTTCTAATCGGACGAGCGGACGAGGGTAGACGAGCGGACGAGGGTAGACGAGCTCGTCCGCCCTCGTCCGAGGACCCCCCCGGAAGTTCCCCGGGAGTTAGCCGAATTTGGACGTTTAATATCGAAAATAGGCCTATTTTTTCCGCTAATTCCGAATCTGAACTCGGTTTTGCCGAGAGATAACTAGGGGTCGAGATATAGCTATCTCGAACGAGATACCTACTATAAACATTTTAACTCTTAACGGAATTAAGAGAAGTAGAATACAAGACTACTATACCCTCGAATAGAGAGGGATAGGGGTACAAATTGACATCTAAGAACTAGTATAGGCAATAGGGATAGTAAGAGGTTCGCCTCGAAACCCTCCCTATCTAAAACATTCTTAGACGATATTAATAGTCGATTCCCTACCCTACTATTAGATTACTATCTATAGAGGAGTAGAATAAAGCCTATAGATTAGGGCCTATACTGCCCCTAGTAATAGGGAGGTATACCCTATTTATAGCGAGATAGACAGAACTTGAAACCTCTTATAACCCCTTTCTCCTTCCTTCTAAGAGTAGACCTTAGCTATTTACCTAGGCTCTAGTTAATCTAGGCACTAGGTAGATACGTATAAGGAGAATGTGCCGCGTAAGAGGCTTTTAACGATGTATATTAACCTATAATCTATAGATACTAGGCTGAATTAAAGGGCTAATAGAGGAAAGACCCCTCCGTATAGATCTACTCTGCTTACTACGCCGCCCTATAAAGGCACCGAGGTACCGAGGACCGGAACTGAGCGTTCCCGGACCCGTACGCTTCCCCGTACGAGTCTAGAACCGGAACTAGCCCTTCCCGGAAGGATCTAAGCTAAAAACAACTGCCGAAATTATACCTACCTAAAGCAGGCAACGGCAGTTTAGCCCTAATCTTACCGGGACGCGGAAAGATCGCTACCCGAACGGCTATACGCCTATCCGACGGTATTGTAGCTATCCGACGGCCTAATATTGCACCGTCGGGGCAATCTAACTCCGCGCGACGAGTAGATATATAGAGACAAGCCTATGCAGTCCCTAAAGAGCATCTAATAGGCGAAACTACTTCTTTGTTTCTATAAGAGTAGTAGGACTGCTTTGTGTTTATTTAGGACTCTGCAAACTCATTCTTGTTCCTATTCTTTTACGGCTTTATTTAGAGTAAAGCTGTTCCTAACCCTAACCCCTCCGGAACGAAAACAACAATGCCGAATTTAGTAGTTTCTCTTCCCCTTCTTAGTACCAAACTAAAGGCGGCTTCCGGAGTAGACGACGCTATTTCGATAGCTAACTCTATTTAGGATTTAATAAGAGTAATCCCGAAGAGCTTTTAAGCCTCCTTCGGTATCTTATTAAAAGAAACGTTCGATACTGCTATTAAAGTACAGAACGTCTAAACAACTCTAGCTAGCCTAGAGAACTACTATATAAAGGGAACCTTCCCGGCGTATATTTTTAGTAGCCTAAAGATACTAGCTACGCAGGTATCGAAGGAATTCTTAACAAGCTCTACCTTTTAGGCGTTTAATACCGCCTATAAGAATACCTTGTTCGAGACGTAGAAGGAGTTCTTAAATCTGAGCATTTAGATAAAGAAAAAGGAGTACGAATTACTTCTACACCTTCTCTTAGACAAAGAACTCTCTATTAAAGCTTAGGCCGAGATAGAGACGATCTTTAATCGTCTTAAAGATGTTTATTAAACTCCGAATCCAAACAAGGAGGGACACTTTATATTAAGCCCTATCTTCGCAAACGAGCTTAATAAGATTAAAGAATACGGACTCGACCTTTATAGAAAGGCAATAAGTCTCGGCTTTACAAAGTACTCGAAAGAACGTACAGTTCGGGTATAGAAACAAGTTGCTTTAAGTAAGGCAGATACGACAATAAAAGACCTGCCTACGCTTAACATTAAAGCAACGATTGCCGAAGCAGTACAGCAAGCACTTAAAAAACAAACTACTAAACTACGAGGTTCGTGTAGACGTACTAATTCAAGTACTATACTAACGACTTAAAGGTACTAAACCTAAACCCAAGCCAAAGACGAAAGCAAAGCTACTAGTTAAAACCAAGAAGGAAAGGTAAGGAAAAGGGATAGGAAAGAAGCAAAAGAAGCGGAAATAAGGTGGATTCTCTCTTCGCCTAATAGGTTCAAACTATTAGACGTTTCTTCTTTACCTAGGCGGTTTTTTGTATCTAGTTTAGACACTTAAGCAAAGTACTTACTATTAAATTCCTCTTTATTGTACCTCGATAGTATATTGCTTAGTGTATACGAAATATTTAAATGTCCTAGCGTATCTCTACCTCGAGATATCGAACAGCGATTGTCCTTTAACGGAAAATACATCTTTGCCTCTAAATTAGATAGAAAACTACCCCTTTAAGCCTAGACAAAGGCAGAAAGAACGATTAGGTTAGCCTTATTCTTTAAAGGACAAACGGACCGGAACTACAACCTAACGTTCTATATTAAATTAGGCTGGTTACCGCTAGCGAATATCTAACTAGATTTAGCACTAGGCGCAACGAGAGCCTAGCTTACAAACTAGATAAAGAACCTGCCTAATAAGCCATTCTATCTAGTTAAAACTAAGGATATATTGGACTTTCTTTGTAGGAATAAGTACCTATTAAAAGTAACCGATAAAAACTTAGGCCTAGCAATAATGACAAAGACCTAGTATATAGAACAAGCCCGTAAGCACTTAGAAAACAGCGACGCTTACGTCTAGCTCCTAGACTAGGAAATAGAACCGATCCTTAAAGATTTTAGAACACTACTCTTTGCATTCGAATAGCCTACGTCTATAGAGAAATAGCTTAAGACGACAACTGCTGAACTACTAAGGTTCTATATAATTCCAAAAATACATAAGAATCCGATAGCTTCTAGACCTATTATCCCGTCTTATAGTTGGATTATAAGCCGATGCTTAGAAGTAGTAGACTACTACCTTTAGAAACTACTGCCGCAATATCCGTAGATTTTAGATTCGACTAAGACTTTTATTTACGATATACGATAGTACTAAGACAGCCTAGAAGGCGTATACTTTGTAATAGGCGATGTAAGCGCTATATATACAAACATACCCCCGAAAGATGCTATTCGAATCTGTAAGAGCCTCTTATAGAAATTAGACATTAACTTAGAAGGCTGTACGGTAGATTCTATTATAAGCTTACTACAGTTTGTCTTAGAACACAACTTCTTCTGCTACGAGAAAGAGACCTTTAAGCAAGTAAGTAGCTTAGCTATAGGAACGTCCTACGCCCCGGTAGTAGTAAACCTATACTATGCTTTTTTCGAAAGAGCTCTCCTCCCTAGATATCCGAAGATTCGCTTCTATAAACGCTATATAGACGATATCTTCTTGCTGTTTAAAGGGACAGAAGAAGAACTTGTTAGCCTACAATCAGCCTTTGTTATTAAAGGACTAACGATTAATTGGGAACATTCGAAAACAAGCACGCACTTTCTAGATGTGCTTCTACTTAACGAATCCAATAGGCTAGTAACTTCGATGTATCGCAAGTTTCTAAACAAGTATATATATATCCCGTAGTCCTCGTTATACCCCGAAAGTGTTAAGACGGCCTTTATTAAAGCAGAAAGGACTAGAATACGTACGCTTTGCTAAAAAGACTCAGACTTCTATAGCGTAGAGAAGTTCTTTTTCGCAAACCTACTTAGGAGAGGATATCCTAAGAAAACGCTTTTAAACTAGTTCTCTAAACCCCTAGGTAATACAAGGGCATAAGAGGTAAAACAAGACAAGTCTCTACTACCGTCTTATTATAATCCAGTATAGGAATATATTAGTACTATATAGCTTAGTTAGGAGTTTCTAAAGAACTGCCGCGACGCTAAAATAACGCTTCCGGCTTCGATTAGTAAAGGCTTCCTCCTTAGCTTAAAGAGAACTCGTAATTTCTACGACCTCTTTAATAAGACTAACTTAACAATCCTAGAATAGGACTTAATACTCTCGATACCCTAGCGATAGGCTTCGATGTAGTGTGTACGAGTACAGTATAGCCTTTTAGGCATTAGGTATATACGGGTCTAAGTACCGAGTATAGTAGAAATATAATAAGTATACGAGCTAGAGGAGAAAGATTTCGATCGAGTACCCTCTATAGTAGTAGAAAACCTATAGATCTGCTATATAAAGTACGAGTTAGACCCTTCTCGAAGGGGACTATACCCTCCGAAAGTGTACCTATACTTGTACTCCGAGGATAGTTCCTAAAAGGGAATACGTAGTACTAGATATCTCGGTTTATAGGGAAACGGTTATCGCTTAGTCGAATAGTTACTAGGTTTAAAACCCTAACCCCTAACCCTAACCTAACCCTAACCCGTCTATACCTATTAAAGTAGGCAAAAGACGTTATTTATAAGAGATATTACACTAGATATACTTATTATTACCTTAAGTAGTAATTAGATCTATATACGACGACTAGATATTCGCTTTTAGCGACAGACTACTTGTATTCTAGTCTAGGGGCCCCCCCTGCGTTTTGGTGCATTTCCTAGTACGGCTGCACTTTATAGCGTAGGCTATTTTTTGCATTATAGGCTGTTTTTTACAGCACGGTAGGGTACCCCCCTAGAAGTAGTAAGATATTTTTATATTATCTAAAAGTAGACGACTCGACGATTCTAAAACCGTTCTACTTTTTAGTAGGCGGCGTTAGATAACCGAGAAATCTGCGTTTCTATTTTCGACTTCCTAATCGGACGAGCGGACGAGGGTAGACGAGCGGACGAGGGTAGACGAGCTCGTCCGCCCTCGTCCGGGGACCCCCCCGGAAGTTCCCCGGGAGTTAGCCGAATTTAGACGTTTAATATCGAAAATAGGCCTATTTTTTCCGCTAATTCCGAATCTAAACTCGGTTTTGCCGAGAGATAACTAGGGGTCGAGATATAGCTATCTCGAACGAGATACCTACTATAAACATTTTAACTCTTAACGGAATTAAGAGAAGTAGAATACAAGACTACTATACCCTCGAATAGAGAGGGATAGGGGTACAAATTGATATCTAAGAACTAGTATAGGCAATAGGGATAGTAAGAGGTTCGCTTCGAAACCCTCCCTATCTAAAACATTCTTAGACGATATTAATAGTCGATTCCCTACCCTACTATTAGATTACTATCTATAGAGGAGTAGAATAAAGCCTATAGATTAGGGCCTATACTGCCCCTAGTAATAGGGAGGTATACCCTATTTATAGCGAGATAGATAGAACTTGAAACCTCTTATAACCCCTTTCTCCTTCCTTCTAAGAGTAGACCTTAGCTATTTACCTAGGCTCTAGTTAATCTAGGCACTAGGTAGATACGTATAAGGAGAATGTACCGCGCAAGAGGCTTTTAACGATATATATTAACCTATAATCTATAGATACTAGGCTAAATTAAAGGGCTAATAGAGGAAAGACCCCTCCGTATAGATCTACTCTACTTACTATACCGCCCTATAAGGGCACCGAGGTACCGAGGACCGGAACTAAGCGTTCCCGGACCCGTACGCTTCCCCGTACGAGTCTAGAACCGAAACTAGCCCTTCCCGGAAGGATCTAAGCTAAAAACAACTACCGAAATTACACCTACCTAAAGTAGGCAACGGCAGTTTAGCCCTAATCTTACCGGGACGCGGAAAGATCGCTACCCGAACGGCTACACGCCTATCCGACGGCATTATAGCTATCCGACGGCCTAATATTATACCGTCGGGGCAATCTAACTCTACGCGACGAGTAGATATATAGAGATAAGCCTATATAGTCCCTAAAGAGTATCTAATAGGCGAAACTACTTCTTTGTTTCTATAAGAGTAGTAGGACTGCTTTGTATTTATTTAGGACTCTGCAAACTCATTCTTGTTCCTATTCTTTTGCGGCTTCATTTAGAGTGAAGCTGTTCCTAACCCTAACCCTAACCCTAACCCTAACCCTAACTTAAACTTAAACTTAAACTTAAACTTAAACTTAAACTGAAACTGAAACTGAAACTTAAACTGAAACTGAAACTTAAACTGAAACTGAAACTCAAACTTAAACTTAAACTCAAACTTAAACTCAAACTTAAACTCAAACTTAAACCTAAACCTAAACGTTGTCTTAAACTTTAATCCAACCCCTAATCTAAACTCAAACTTTATCTCTAATTTCGCCTTAAACTCGAACTCGAATACAAACCGTATCTCTAACTTAAATCTTATAGTTTACTCTATAATGTCTTACTCCCGTATAGTTTACTCTATAATAGTTTGCTATGTTTTACTCCCTTATTGCTCTTACCCTTATAGTTCTCTCTAATACTTCTCTACTTCCGATAATCTAACTCGCCTTATAGGTCCCTATTATATATACTTACCTATTTACTAGACGGTTAAACCCTTAGGCGACTATCGTATATACTAACCTATTCGCTATATAGCGAAACCTATAGGCTATTATCTTATACGACGACTATTTTACTATATAGCAAATCTATAGATTGTTATCTTATATACTAGCCTATCTGCTAGACGGCAAAACATCCGAGATAGCGTATCGCATATCGACCTATTAGCTAGATAGCAAAATCTATACGCTGCTATCTTATATGTCGACCTGTTTGCTAGATAGCGAATTGAAAGTAGTATTATATTATACGCTAACCCGTTTGCTAGACGGCAAAATCTATGCGCTACTATCTTATATAATAACCTCTTTGCCGGATAGCAAAACCTATACGCTGCTATCTTGTATACCGACCTCTTTGCTAGACGGCAAATTGAATATGCTACTATTTTATATACCGACCCGTTTGCTAGACAGCAAAATCTATGCGCTACTATCTTGCATAATAACCTCTTTACCGGATAGCAAAACCTATACGCTGCTACCTTGCATACCGACCTCTTTGCTAGACGGCAAAATCTATAGGTAGCTATCTTGCATACCGACCTCTTTGCTAGATAGCAAAATCTATAGGCAGCTATCTTGTATGCCGACCTCTTTACTAGATAGCAAAATCTATAGGCTGCTATCTTGTATACCGACCCGTTTGCTAGACGGCAAAATCTACGCGCTACTATCTTATATGCCGACCGGTTTGCTAGACGGCAAAATCTATAGGCAGCTATCTTATATACCGACCTCTTTGCTAGATAACAAAATCTATAAGCTGTTATATCGTATACTGACATCTTTAACTAATAGTAAAATATCTAGGCTGCAACGGTATATAAATCACTTTATATAGGATTATATAAACATTATTGCATATCTATAGTAACCAACCTTTATACGTCCGACTACTAATATATATATATATATACTCTATTGTGCTATAAGCACCGTAACCTATACTAGACCGCTTCGCTTCGTATATCAAAGTCGCTAGCGTATAGGTTAAAGCGCGTATAATTAGAACCTAATAATAGGTGCCGTAATACCGCCTACCTTCCCTTATTATCTCGTCCTTTAGTCGATACTAGAATAACGGGTAATGTATATACCGAGAGCCGTACTAGCATCTTATCCGCTAGATTATGTCTACTAAACTCCGTATCGGAGAGAGTATACGCTTCTATATCCGCTACTATACTAGCGATTACATTCTAGTCGTAGAAAGATTCGGTATCGGCGTCTAGTACTATTAGGGCATCGAGCAGCTCCTCGACTATATATCGACTCGTATACTAGCTTCTCTAGCGATATATAATAAGGAATACTCGCAATATACCCTTCTACGTCGATATATCTAACCCCTACTACGGTTGCTAGACAACGTCCTTAAATAGTTTAGAGAACTACTATCTCGTATAATATAGGTAGACCGAAGTACGGCACTTAGCCCGTCTAGTCTAGGCCGTCGGCTAGTAGGTTACGGATAGGTAAGGCGGGCGCATTGCTAGAGCTATAGCGTTAAATAACGCTATAAACGTAATCTGCCCTTACTATAGTCGGTATTAGTCTACTAGGTCATCTTTATCCTAGTACTCTAGTAACCTACCGAATACTATAGCGACCTTAGCTAACGCTAAATGCTGCCTCGCGGGCTCCTAATTAAAGCCGAACGTCTAGTGCGGCTAGTTACTATCGTCCTAGCTAAGCATATTTAACGCTACTCCGCCGTCCTTTAGCTATAGAGAGTCGATAGTTTTAGCCTAATTACGAAGGAGGGCGAGGCTTCGTACTAACTACTTAACCGGGTTATCTACTAACGTACTACCTACGCGGATCGGCCTTAGTACCGAATTATCTAAGTCGCGGAGCGCCCCGAATAGGCGAAAACGGTTAACGCAATAACGTAGTTCGTATAATGTCTCGTCGATTATCCGTTGCTATTCGGCCTTAACTTTAGTACGGTATCTAACTTGTACGTTATACGTCGGCAATGCAACGCAGTCTAGAATATAACCCTATATCGCTAGCTCTTCCTAGCTATTATCGAACGGCCCCTTTACTACCTATAGCGCAGCTAGGCGCCTTATATATACCGTATAGCTAGCTAGCGGTAATAGGACTCGGATAGTATTAGACTCTATATAGTATATATTAC